CCCCCCCCCCTACCCTTCAGTTGATGTTTCTAGGGGTGGTGACATGTATCAGTAGAGTGTGAACTGAAATAGTTGAGATGCACTGCCTGCTGCTTTCCAGGGGGCCTGAAACCTCCTGCTCCTTCCTTTTGTGGATGGGAGCCGCTCTCTGTCTCCCTCAGCATAACACCTCCATCTTGCCCCTTCTTCACTCTCATCACTAAGCATCCTCCCCTGGCAGGTGGCCAGCCTGAGAACAGTGCCATCTAAAGAGAAAAGGGCCTCTGGGAGCCTGGTAGGCAGCATGGGCCTGCATGCACTAGGTTGTCTGTAGAAGCCTCCCTGGCCCATTCTGTCACAGGGTACACTGAGGGAGTGGGAGAATGACTTAGGCATCTCTGCTTATCTGTTTTCTTTCCCTTGCCATTGGTACAGGGAACTGTTTTTATGTCAGCATGCCAGCAGGACCTCTGGACTCCAACACTGAGCCTACCGGGACACCGCTAAGTCCCTCACAGCCCCACAGCCTCCCTACATGGCCAACAGAGCCTCGGTACCAGAGGGGAGGCATTGAGGATCAAATATGTTCCACCTGCTCTCCCCCGAACCTGGTCCTCAGGGATGTGGGTATAATCTTCCATACCATCGAGCAGCTTACCATCAAGCTTCACAGACTCAAGGTAAGAACATGGCCTTGAGTCAGTAATCCTTCTATCCTTTACTCAGGACAGTTATATATTTACATAAGTAAATGTGTGTATGTATGTGTGTGTGTACAGATATGTGTATATACATATACACATATATAAACATATTGAGCCTAGGGCCTCATACATGCTAGACAAACATTCTACCATTAAGCTACATTCCCAACTCAGGAAGTGTGTATCTTCACTGGAGTCCTAGGCCGCCACCATCTTCAGCTTACCTGCCACATCCTCTGAGCCTTGACACTGGAACTCAAACACTCCTTCTACAACTCTTGTAGGACATGGAGCTGGCTCACAGAGAGCTTCTCAAGTCCCTTGGAGGAGAGTCATCTGGTGGAACCACTCCTGTGGGCAGTTTTCACACAGAGGCAGCCAGATGGACAGACCACTCTCTCTCTCCTCCAGCCAAGGAAGCCCTGGCCTCTGACTCCCAAAATAGTCAGGAGCAGGGATCCTGCCCTGAAGGTGAGTGATGCCAATTCCTAAGGGAATGCCATGACCCATGAGTAAGCATAACCAAGCAGTGAGGGGTCATCCCATGACCCTGAGTTATAAACCAACACAGTCCCTCAGCTTCAGAAAAGGATCTTTGCCAGGCATAGTGGGATACACCTTAATCCCTGCACTCAGGAAGCAGAAGTCACCTTAGACTATGTAGTTCCTGGCCAGCCAGGACCACATAGTGAGAAAAGGGGTAGGCGGCGTCAGAGAACAACCTCAGCTGTCTGCCATCACTTTCTACCCTGGGGCAGAATCTGTGTTCACCACTGGGTAAACCAGGCTCGCTTGGGATTCTCCTGACTCCACCTTACCTATAGCCATGAAACTGGGGCTATAGATGTGCACTCCCACATCCAGGTTTACACAGATTGTGGTGATCCAAACTCCAGTCCTCTTGCTTGCATGGCAGTGCCTATCCATTGAACTCTCTCTCCAGCCCCAGGAAGGGATCTTTTTAGGGAAGCCACACAGAGGGTCCCCCCAAATAGGGACCAGTACAGATCCTTCTTTTTAAAATCCTTTGTGTGGATGCTTTGTCTGCGTGTAAATCTGTATACCACATACATGAAGTTCCCTAAGGAGGCCAGAGACAAGTTTAATACCGTGGAACTGGAGTTACAGGTGGTTGTGAAGCCGCCATGTGGGTGATGGGAATTGAACCTGGGTCCTCTGGAAGAATAGCAGTGTTCCTAACCACTGAGCCACCTCTTCAGCCCCCAGAGCCCTCTTTTTATGTTGAGGTCATGCACCCTGGGTTCCAAGGGAAGGCCATTGCCATGGCCTGACTCAAGAGAGTTAACACACTTACCTGGTTTTGGGGGGCCAGGCAGAAGTGGGGTTCTCATAGACTTGCTGAAGTCCCACAAGAAACAAGGGTTAGACTGACAGAATGGCTCAGTGTTTAAAGGCATTAGCCACCAAGCCTGACCATCTGAGTTCAAGCCCCAGGTAGAAGGAGAGAACTGACTCCTGCAAGTTGTCTGACTTCCATATACATAAGTAAAATTAATTAGGCTTCTCCAGACAGCTGGTGCTAAAGAGTAAGCCGGGGACTTGCAACCTAGCCAGCTTCTCAACCCTCACCATCCTCCCACAGGCTCCGACACCCCCATGGAAGACAGTGCCACAGACACAGCTGCATCACCAGGACCATAGCCATCCAGACAACCTGAGCCTCTGCTTCTTCACTCTGCCGGAATCTGGCCTGGGCCAGAGCACAACACTTGGAGACCCAAGCCTCCCCTTGAAAGATGCAGCAGAAGCCCGGGGAGAGACTTGCATGTTGCTTGGTCTGTTCACATTGGACAGTTTCAGTGTCTCTTCCTATTAGCCAAGTCTCCATGGCTTTCATCTCCTAAGCATGCTGACCACAACAGAAAGGTCTCCCACAGTGGTCTACCCCTTCACTCCACATAGCTATGTAGCATGTGTGGGGTGTGCTGTGTGTACAGTACCCTCAGGTGTGCAAGTCGAGGGAGGAGACTTCTGTGTAAATGCACTTTTTTCCTCCCCTTCTTCCTAGGCCTGTGACAGCTGGGTGCCTGACTCTCCTCTCTTTCCCTTTAGTTTCCTATAAATATGTCTATTGTATGTGCATTTTTGCCATTGTAAATAACTTAGCCTTCTCTCTGTCAGAGACAGCTGAGAGCAGTCAGCAGCCCAGTTCAGGGTGGTGACTGTCTATGTCCCATCCAGACTCCAGCCCTGTCAAGCTCCAGGGCCCTCCTCATTGTCAGGAAATGAGCCTGTGGGGAGCATCTTGCCTGACCCATGCCCACCCCTTCTCCACTTGCCCCATAGAAACAAATACAACAGGTACGGAGCTCAAAAGACCCTAAGACAGCAGAGTCCCTGAGTTAATTCAGGGCCCACAGCAGCATTGGTTCATTGCCGTGTCCTCACTCCACTCCCCACTGATGAACATACACACTGTGCTAGGTGTATATATACATATATATAAATATATATAATATATAAAATATAGATATGGGAATGACTGTTTTACTGTTAAAATAATGTATACTCTTATTTTCTTCCTTTCATGGTTAAGATTTTTTTAAAGAAAAGTTAAATATTCTTCCATTGTGGTTGTATAATTCTTAGACTGATACAGGATATGTTGGTTGTAACTGGTCAAGAATGGGTAGAGGGAGCCAGGAGAGCCCCTGCCACTCCAGGTCTTGCCACCTCTCCCAAAGTTTTAGGTGTGGGGCAAGTGACCCTGGTCAAGAAAGACAAAGAAGCAGGGATGTCATGTCCTACCCTGGTCAGGTGTAGGGCTGAAGACAGAGCTTTAGAGGACCTGGCAGACATAACTGGAGAAGCCATAATGGATGATCATGGTGCATCTTGACAGTGTTGGGACTCAGAGCAATGGGAGATGTCACTGGAACCATTCAGCAGCCAGTGCTGGGGCAACAAGTGCAGAAATGGAGCTCTAGTAGGCAGAGGGGCTAGAGATGAGGGTGATGTTCTCTTTATCTTGTCTAATGTTTGGCCTTTGCTATGCAAATATGGATACAATACCCTCTCCAGAGTGCCTTCATCTTTAAAAGCTGAGCCCTGGCATCTCAAGCCAGGTAAACTCAGGGGTTGGAGATAAGCAGCAGGGGATGCTGGGGGGTGGGTCTTTCTTCCAAGCTTCCTCCCTCCATCATCCTAAGGCTATGTGTGTGCAGGCAGAGATGGTCTGAGGGATACTGCCGTGACCCTCAGAAGCTAGAGCAAGGGCCCTGGCTTTGTAGCCAGGAACTCAGTTCATGTCCCCAACAGAGCCATGGTATGATTCAGGCCACCACTCTGCCATGTCTAGCCAGGCAATATGAACAGACTCAAGAGCCCAAATGTTCCAAGCAGAGTGATTTTCCAAGAATAACACAGCAATAGACTATGTTACTGGTCCAAGATATCTCCCAAGAAGATAGGGCTGCCCGTGGGAGGCCTAGATAGCTGTGCCCTCCTCCTCCTTGACCTTGGCCTTCACAGGATCCCTTGGCAGCATCAGTTCCTGAATCATGGTGTATGTTGGACACTGTGGGTCAAAGCAGTTTTTCTGAAAGAAAGGGGAAAAAAGGACATTATGTCTTCAAGAAAAAACAATGCCCTGGACAATGTTAGAGCTGGTAAGCAGGGGAAGGCAGTCATGCCATTGGTAACTACAGAAAACAAAGGTTGCTGCATTCAAACAAAGAATCAGGCAATGATGAGACCTTCTGGAAAAGGGATAGGAACTCACGGCAAGGGACAGCCACAGCAGCCCCAAGGGGCCCTTGGCCGAAGTCTTGGGCTTGGAGACCTGAACCTGGTATTGCACGGCGGTGAGGAAGGCTTCCAGCCCCACCTCTGTGATCCGGTTTCCTGAGAGGAGGCACAGACAGTGGCACCTGGCGTCATACCTGCCATCCCCAGGTCACCAGGCAGGACTTTTAACTAGCCCTCTATCCCTATTCTTTCTACTTTACACCTTCCCCACCTAGCTACCTTACTCATCTCACTACTGCCCTGGATCCCATCCCAGTACTTCCTCTAAGCTCCAGCCCCGTGGGTCTGACAAAAAGATGCTCATCTGCTTAAGAATCAAGTACACCCCATGGAGCTGTGGTGACACCCCTTAGCAGGATGGAGCCTAGGTAAGAACAGGTAAGGCTTGCAAACATACGGAGGAGGTTGAGGTGCAAAAGGACCTTGTTCCCAGGCAGGAAAACCTTCCCATCACGGTGCTCCACAGGTTCCAGGAGAGGGTTAACCATCTCTGTAGTTTCAACAACTAGCTGCTGAAGCAGAACATGAGAGATGATCAACAGGCCACTTAATTAATTCATTCATTCAACATACAGGTTTTGAGTGCTGGTTATAATTCAGGTTGTGTCCCTAGGTGCTGGAGAAACAAAGATAAATAAGTTCCTCAAAAAGTTCCTTGGTGTGGGGAGCCGGAGGATTAAACAAGAATGTGGTATGGCAGGGCCCTTGAAAGCAGAGGAGTATGGGAATGTGGGCCTTAAAAGAGGCAGCCTGAGAGTGAAAGTTGAAGGTATGCAGACATTCAGATGAAGAGGGTGGGTTCCCCAAGCAAGGAATGCGGCAGGTGCAAAGACCCTGGATCCCTGCTCAAGACAAAGGCAAAGACTAATGTGGGGAGTAGAAAGCCACCCTCCTCCTTCCGTCTGACTCATTCTTCTGCCAGAACTTGTCTTGGGTGCCAGGAAAGACTTCTAAAACCTGGGTTTAGAAGACTTCTAAAACAAGGGTTTCGAAACCCTTGCAAAAATATGTGACAGGGTTGTAGAGTCCTCCTGGAGAGAACAGAGATGACAGGATGGTGTCCTAAGAAAGGCTGAGTCACAAAGCATGAAAGGGGATCCAGCAACAAAGGTGGGGGGGATCTGAAGGAGGGTCCTGCATGGGGCAGTGTGGTGACAAAGTGCCTTAAAGAGCACCTAAGGGGCAAAAGCAGCATTTGTGCCTGTGTGGTGTTGGAGGAATTGATCGTTAGCTGAAGACCTTAGAGAGCAGAGCCTCGGGTGTGCAGCAGGTCCAAGGTCAAGGGACCTGCCACATGGGGAGGGGAACGGGGAGTTGTAAGTGGCATCTCCACAGTACACACAGGTCAGATAGGATTCCCATGTGGACTGGAGTGGGCTTACAGAGGGGGCTGCAAAGCAGGAAGAACGGGGTGGCATATCCCTCAGGGCCAGCCACATACCTCTGACTCCAGGAGGATGCTGCGCTTCTCTTTGCTCCCCGTCTTCGTCCCTTTTCCCTTGCTCATCTTCTGCTCAGGGATGGTTACCTCTGGGACCAGAAGAGGAGCCAGAATGCACAGAGCAGACCAACAACCCCCCCCCCCCCCCCCCCCCCCAAACCCCCAAAAAAAAGAAGCTGGGACCATCCAGGAGGATGCTGCGCTTCTCTTTGCTCCCCGTCTTCGTCCCTTTTCCCTTGCTCATCTTCTGCTCAGGGATGGTTACCTCTGGGACCAGAAGAGGAGCCAGAATGCACAGAGCAGACCAACAACCCCCCCCCCCCCCACCCCACCCAAACTCCCCAAAGAAAGGAGCTTGGTAAGGCAGAGTCCCCGAACTCTGAGACTTGGGGGAGAACATAGGAACATCTGCAGTGAGCTCCCATCTAGATGGATGGATTCCTTTTCTGGGGACAACCACAGAGGCCTAGTCCTGAAAGATAGAGTAGTGAGGCACAATGTCTAGGCCAAATGGACACTCAGTATTTCAAGGTGAGGAATAAACAAGGCCCAGGGAGAGACATGAAAGAACAGCTCCTGGCAGACATAACCGGGTCAAAACCAGGCCCCCACATGCTGCCAAGGCTCACTCTATGTGGAGAAGATTCACATAATAGGGTGCTCACACTTACTCCCTTTGCCTGCCTTTGAGGCATCTTCTTTCTTAGGGGTTCCTTGTGTGGGTGACTGCCCCGGGCCTGACTTCTCTTCCTTCTTTACAACTTCCTATGAAGGGTGTGAAAAGGCATAATGGATACCCTACCTCCCAGAGGGAGAGCATCTAAAGGCTGGGCTTGAGAGACACCTTCAAAGGCCAAATCCATTGCCCTTCTTCCTACTACCCTGTACACCATGGAAACTCCTCCCCCATCCATTCAGGGCCCAAGGTTCACTCTCACCCAGCACACCTACCCCTGTCTTCTCCTTTTTCTTGCCCAGGCCCTTAGGTGTTTTTATTGTCTGCATCTTTTCTGACTTGTCCACCAAGGTAATATTGCTGATGCCCACCATCTGCAACTTGTCCCGGTCCCGGTCCGTTTTGGAGTCCCCGTGTCGGGAGGAGGAAGGCTGCACTCACAAATGGGAGGGTGCAGAGGAAGTAACTAGAACTCTTCCCTTCTCCACCTCCCTGCCTATCATCTGGTCTGGGACCAGAGTTGCTGTTGGCAAGGAGGAGCCCAGAAATGGATGAGACTGAGCTGGAGGCTCCGACTTTCATCCTAGGAGGGGGACGTAGTGCACTCTTTTTGTTGGTGTTGATTTGTTGCAGTGCTAGGGATCAAACCCAGGGCAAGCCCTCTATGTATTGTACTATACCTCCAGACCTTGGTTTTATTGAGACATCGTCTCACTCTGAAGCTCAGGCTGTCCTTGAACTCATCTCTCATCTGCCTCCTAATTGAAAGGTTTACATTATGCCCAGTCGGCAGCTTTTGTTGAGCTAAGTTCTAGGCAGTATTCCAAATGCTGTATAGTAACTGGTGTAATCGTCTCAAGTGTGTGAAGAAAGTAACAGTTACCCTGCTTAGTTGAGGAAAATGAGACCCAGAGGGTAAGCAGTGAGTTGATAATCAGAAACGAGTGGCTTGTGGGAAGGACTTCAAGCCCAGGTGGCCTGAATAGTAGTTTGTCTCTTAACTACACTCTATCCACCAGAGTGACTGCGTAGCTGGAGCACCAAGTTGCACTCGGCAGACGCTGGTTTCCAGAATCCAGAAGGGAAAGGATGGATCGAATTTTAGTCATGAGCAGCAGACAGAAAAGCAGCCTTCCTGGCACCAGGTAGCTCCTCACCGATCGAGACCGTTCCTGTGATCCTTTCTCCAGCAGTAGGCGCCGCCGCTCCACCACCTCCTTGTGGGTCAGCTCAAAGGGACGCAGGACCTGAGGCAAAGCCAACTCCTTTCATCAGACACCTGAATCAGATCCCCTACCCCGCCCAGCATGCAAACCCACCTCGGCCAGCTTCAGTGCTCCCTTGTCTTGAATACGATTGTGTGCCAGGGACAACCAGAGGAGAGAGCGGTTCAGCCTCAGCCCCTGGAGAAGACAGACCTGTAAGCCAAGGGCAAGCCAGCGTCCCCATGCATCTTGCCCAACCACACGCACATCCGCAATGTAGCCAGCGCCCTCATCCCCGATGTGGTTGAATGCCAGGTTCAGTGAAACAAGGGTCCGGTTGCTGGTGTGCAGTGTGGACAGTGCCTGGCCTAGGAGCTGCGCCCCGTAGTCATCAATGTTGTTGTTCCTCAGAGACAAGTGAGCAATCCTGGGGCAGGGAGAGGGAGAACCGGTGTTCCTGGGGCTTGGGACCTCTTGCGGATATGAGTGCTTCAAAATGATCTATATATAGGTGGAGGGGCAGGAATTAAAGGTGCCTGGGGACAAGGAGAGGTAAGGACTAAAGATAACTTCAAGGGGGGGACAGGCCAAGAAAGGAGAGTGAAGTCAAGAAGTCTCACGTGCTGTCCAGTCCCATGAGTTTGTAATAGGACTGCTCCGGTATCGGGTTCCCCTCCAGGGACACCTTCCTGAGGATAAAAGGCTCTGAGGTCTAGGAATCGCCACTGAGGCCATGCAAGGAGGAGGGGAATTGAGGGGAAGTATGGATCTTTGGGGAGCATTTGGAAAATAGAGTCTGAGGATATCTATCCCCCAATATAGGAAGCACATCTATGACAATTCCCCCAGGCTAGAATTCCAGAATTATGACCACGGGAGGGGCCTGTTCCCTGAGCTGATCTATAGGGCCTGCTCCTGAGCTGACATATATACAGTGATCTCTAAGATGGCCTTCACTGAGTCCTATTTCTGGATACCCAGGGCCTGTGTTATATATAATCCTGTCTTCTGCAGTTTAGCTAGAACTACTGACAGTTCTTTGTGTGTTTGTGTTTTGGTTTGTTTTGAGACAGGGTTTCTCTGTGTAGCCCTGGCTCTCTTGGAACTCCCACTATAGAACAAGCTGTCCTCGAACTCAGAGATCTTCCTGCCTCTGCCTCCTGAGTGCTGGGATTAAAGGCATGCACCACCACCACCTGGCTCTCCTGGTTGGTTTAAACCACTACATTTTGGAGTTACTTTGTTACACAGTAATAAATCACTATCTACAAGATAATAGCTTCTCTCACAGTCCTAAGCAAAAGGAACCAATAGGTAGAAATTTCTCTATTCAAATGTTTCCTGTGGTATATAATTATTGCTCGGCCTTTTGGACTGCCTTGTTTCATATAAACAATTCACTTCAAATCATCTTATGTTGATATGGCTGATTCTTGCATAATGAATTCACAGTTCTTTTTCTGTTAGCTCATTTGTTTCTACTTTCCCAGCTAAAGATATAGCCCCTGCCCTCAGGGAGCACCCATCCGATTCACAGGAGGAAAGCCCATGTGGATAGCACTGAGAGGTACTATTTGTGAAGCAAGAATGATGACTAGGGTCCTATAGGAAACTGAAAAGGGCCAGACGGCTAAGTTGGCTTTGTCCTTTGTTCAGCAAACTGCAACTGCAAGTAGGCTCTGCTTCCGACCCATCCACCCCATGATTCCTAGAAGGCTGGCTGAGCACCAGGTCTCCTGCACACAGACTCCCCTGGTAGGCAGCACTCCCTCCCCCCCTCCCCACACTGCCCAAAGCAGTTTCTGGTCATGGGCCCTTCTCTCCCTGCTCACTGTACTGGGTCATGGAGCAGGGGAGATGATCTCTAGGGAGGAGGTGGGGCCTCAAAGCGCTCTGTGGATACCATGTAGTCTCAGGTGGGACTCCCACCACCCAACAGACATAGGCTAAGCCCCATTTCCACACAGTCTAGGCCTACAAATGAGACTTGCTAACTCTGTAAACAACGGCTTCCCCCTCAGACACCCAGACAGGCCACTTAGGCCTAACCACAACTGACCTGAGTGTGGAGGAACAGAGAGGCAAAAGGGCGATGAAAGTGGCCAGGGTATTATCCGTCAGCCCCACCTTCCAAAAGCTAGTATTAGAAACAGAAACAGCAGCTGGGCACCACCTCCCACAGGAAGCCCCCTCCCACAGTCCCCCAGACACGCCCTCCACCCTCCCCAGCTGAGCCTACTACTATCTCTCTCAAGCCAGCCAGAGGCTGACTCGAACAGTGCCTCTCACTTGATGGCTTGCAGCTGGCTGAGGGAGGGCAGACATTTGGAGAAGATCCCCAGGATCCGATCCTCAACTCTCCAACCTGAGGAAAGGCCAAGGGCATCTCAGGCCTGGGAGGAACCTAATGTGAACCAGTAGTGGGTGGTGATACTCAACAGGGCTGTGGAGGGGGCACCGGCACTCACCCCGGATGTAGATCTCTTTCACTACCTTGCTGTCCTCCTGCTCCAGCTCCACCTGAATGGTAGGCCGAAAGAACACATATTTGCTCTCCAGGCTGTTCTGGCTGCAGGATGCTGACAGCCGCTGGTCATCTAGAAGACAGGGAAGTGTGAGGGCTTCCACAGCCACAACATGCCCCACCCAGTGAAGGAGCTGGGTGGGCTATGGCTCACCTTGGGTGGCTTTTTCTGACATGGAAGCAGAAGGGACAAAGTTTTGGTTGGGCCGTGGGCGGGTGACAACTTTGGGAAAGTCCGTGTAGCCTGACCGTGTGCAAAGCTCAGCGAAGTCTGTCTCCAGGACCCCAGAGCACTGGTACTCCTCTGCGGGGGTGGCAGCAGAGTGAGCCCAGTGCTCACCGCAGCAGGGACCTCCGTGCTCACAGCAGCCCCAAGTGGAAG